GACACTGGTTCTCCTTGTAAAGTAGTGATACAAAGTTTTCTTTGTGAATAATCTCTTTCTCTCTCTACACACACACACACACACACACACACACACACACACACACACACAAAGGGAGTTGATTTAAAGAAAAAATATTAAGCAAACAATACTCCATTTGGCTCAGGCAGTATGGTAGATGGTATGTAGCAAACTGCAAGCTAGACTATGAAAGAGAGACAAGTTTCCTAGGGACACTGAGAGCATTGCTGACGTGGATACAGCTTGAGTAAAGGGGCACGGGCAAAAGTATGCCTGGAGAGTTATAAATAGCTCAATCTGGGGAAAGCAAGGTCCATTACTAATGAGTAATAAAACTAGAAGCACAAAACTATATTAAAATTCCATTAGAAACAAAGTTTAACAAACCTGTCAATAATTGTTGATATTCTTCAACTGCCGTTTACCATTTTTTACATGGAAATTTTTTTTCTTGTGTTTCTGTAGATCTGAGGAGAAAATTAAGCACTTCGGTCAACTTAAATCTGAACTTTTCCTTAAAGACAATACGTTGAGGAAGATACTTTGTCTAATTACAGAACTTAAAGTAGCAGCCCAGAAAAACTTCATTCTGAAAAGGCTTTTCTGGAAAGTAGGTGTTTTGTTTTATTTTTAATCTTTGAAACTTGTTCCAGCTATTTATCGAATGCAGGATATTAGAGCATGTAGTAAAATACACATAAATGTTGTCTTGTATTCGGAGGCTGTATTTTAAAATGTTGATGGAAATGTAATGCAATCATGACTCAGTATTTGAAATCTTGTGACGTAATCGATAATGTATATGTGTGTGTCGGAGGAGAGACGGGGAAGGAGAATGGTAGCAAAAAGTACCTTATGTGGGTTGGTTTGGCAACCACATGTATATGTGTGTGTTGGAGGGGGAGCTTCTGGAATGCAAGATGTATGGGTACAGAGAGTGAGATGAGAAAGTAGATTTTAAGAAGTTTTACCTTCAGGTAACCCTACAATATAAGTACAATTAAAACAAGTTACTTGTGAATGTAGGACTTTTTTAAAAAGGTGACTCCTGGGGAGTCAAATCAACCTAGCTCTCACTCAGCAAGTTACAGACTTACTCTGTAAGACTTACTTCAGTTTCATGGGCAGGTATTCAGAAGCCCTGGCCGAGTACTGATATGGTGCTAACGAGGGGGTGAGCCCTGCCTCGGGTGGAGCTCCTCTTGATGGCTATATGTTGTATCCTAATTCTGGCCAGTAGTTTCAGAGTTGCCAACATTTTATTGAGCAGCTGTAAAGTGCACAGCTCCCCAGCCATACAAGACAGTCCTGGTCTTAGATTCGAAGGGCTTCACATGTAGGACAACCAACCATCCAGGTTTGCCCACACTTGGGTGACCAACTGTCACAGCTTCCCTAGGACTGAAGAAGTTCTCAGGATATGGGACTTTGAGTGCAAAAGCTAGGATAGTCCCAAGCAAACTGAAATGATTAATTACCCTAATTAGAGAGTGTATTAGCTGCATAGAATATTATGTCAAATGTCCCCCAACACTGAGACAGGCAACAATGATACTGTGCTACGTAAATGCTTGAACTGGATACACCCTGTTAGGAATATAACATCCGGGTCTTGACTCCAAAACTAAAGAGGATTGTAGAGAATATAGGGACAGGCATCGAAATGACCACACAAGGTGATTATGAACATGGAAATGGAGTTAATGTGAAAAGGCTAAGGAAACTGATATATCACACCCAAGTGTAACTCTCCAGTCCATCCCACACGTGGTATTAGTTTAATCTGTAACTCTGATTTTGTGTCCTTGCACACTCAAAAACTTCTTGTGGCTCTCCCTTCGAAGTACAAACACGTTGGCTTTAGCATTTAAGGCTCTCCACTAAGGACTTCTGTCACAGATTCCAAATTTGGACAGGCATGGCCCATGCAAGGTGGGTTTTCAGGAAGGGCCAACATCTATATAGGGCAGGCAGTGGGCAAACGAACCCAGCTGTAGATGCTCCCAGGGAAGGCACAGAGCACCGGCGGGGAGAGTGACCTCTACACAGAGAGTGTGCAAAAGAGATCAGGGCATTCCAGCACATGCGTAGGTTATACCCAAATGTCTGCAAAAACATTTGACACCAGGAAGATCTGCTTGTTTAGGGTCTGGCAATAGAGTCTTCATGGAATGAAGTAGGGGAGGTGGCAAGGATATAAAGATTGTCCAGTGTAAACCTAGCAGTTGGGAGAGGACTAGCAAAGGACTTCACACTGGGCTCACAGATGTCCACTTAGATAAACCAGACACAATCGGGGGACTGGATTTAAAGCAGATGTCTAGGTAGGAGAACTGAGGTACCACTTACAGGTTAGACTAGCAAGAAGGGTGTTGATGTTGAATATCAGAGCGTTGGCCTCGAGGTTTCTTAAGCATGTCCAATCTTCCAATGTGCCTGATGCAGATGGCCTTGGCTGTGGAGCCAAAGAAAGATACAAAGAAAGAGAATGAGGCTGGGCCTAACCCACTCAACCCCACACTTCCTTGCTTTCATCTCTTTCCTCTAAAAGCTCCAGCCTCGTGGGGTGACTTGAACACCTTGTCCTTCCAGCCCCTCCTCGTTTCCCCTGCTGTTATCTCTAGGCTACTCTTTCTTCCATTTTCTCCTGTTAAAATCCTACCATCCATTCTTCAAGGCTCAGCTCAAATGCCGTTCTTCTGCCTTTCCTGTCATCCTCTATGGGGAACTTTGGAACCCTCCTCTTTCTCATCTGTTTTGGCAGTCCTGTACCATAGAACTTTCTTTGATGTTCTTTAATCTATGCTGTTCAATAAAGTAGCCACTAGCCACAATGAATGTGGCCAGTGACTAGGGAAGTGAAATTTAAAAGAATGTTTATTTATTTTCAAGAAGGGGGGGGGGGGAAATTGTGAGTGGGGGAGGGGCAAAGCGGGCGGGAATCCCAAGCAGGCTCCATATTGTTAGTGCAAAGCCTGACGCAGGGTTTGAACTCACGAACTGTAAGATCATGACCTGAACTGAAATCAAGAGTTGGATACTTAACCGACTGAGCCACCCAGGCGCCCCACCATTTTAATCGATTTAAATTTAAGTAGTGCCATGTGACCAGTGGCTACTGTGTTGGACAATGCAGTTCTATGGTATCTCAGCACCTTCTAACAATTCAACAAATATTTATTACATGACTGCTCTAGGCCAGGAATGGGAATAGGCATTAGAAATGTGAGCATGAGTAAGACACAGTTCCTACCCTCAAGAATTAGCTCAGAAAGTCTCCTTTTTACTATAGTTTTTGGCAAATTTTTAAATTTACCCTTGTATGCTATAAGCTTCTTCAGGACAGGCATGTGTCTTACTCATCATCTTCGTATTCACCCTAAGGTCTAACGTGTGCCATGCGTATACCAGGTCCCATAATCAATTCGTATTGAACTGAAAGTTTATTGTCTTGTGAAAAATTAACCTGATCAGAAATCTAGGAATAAAGCATTCATGTTCTGTTGCTTAACTGAAAATACTGCAGGGGCGCCCGGGTGGCTTAGTCAGTTAAGTGCTCAACTCTTGATCTCGGCTCGGGTCATGATCTCACAGTTGGTGAGTTTGGACCCTGCACTGGGCTCTGTGCTGACAGCGCAGAGCCTGCTTGGGATTCTCTGTCTCCCTCTCTGTCTGTCTCTATCTCTCTCTCAAAAATAAACAGATACACATTTAAAAAAAAAGAAAATACTTCAGCCCTTCTTTAATGTAATGTCCTTAGATGGATTAAAATAGGTCTTCTAATTCAGTTGTCAAAAATGAGAGGCCAAAATGAAGAGAGAGGGAAATAAAAGTTATATGGGCAGTCTCCCTATTTGCGGTCTCCCCACACTTAGTGGGGTACCTCGTTCTCCTCCCCACCATGCTTCCAAGACCTGGTAGCCTTATGTTCTCTCTAATCCACAACCACAATCTTACATTCATTTATACAAAGTTAACATATATAACTAATAAGTCAACATTTTTATCTTCTTTTAGGAGCTTTTTTCTTTAAAGTTATTATGGCTTTAAGCTTAAGCAGTGGTTTTGCAGCTTTGTGCTGGGCTCCCTGGTGAACATAAGGTTGTGTGAAACTTCCTCAGGAACCCACACTGGCGTGGGGAGATTAGAGGCATCTCGAATTTTTGGTTCCTGAGTAAGATGATAAAAAATCATACATATAGGGGCGCCTGGGTGGCGCAGTCGGTTAAGCGTCC